ACTTGGAAACCGAAGAAAAATATTTTTTTTATAAAGAAAAAGTTTGATATGAAATGGGAAATGGAAGAAAAGAAGGGCCACAGCTCATAGGAGAGCATATATTCCCTTACAACATATGTTTCCAGATATGGAGTGAGAAAAACAACATGGGACACCCTTAACAAACTTCCCAATTATATATACAACTATAAGAGTTGCCACATTTTTCAGACACACACAAAAGCAAAGTAAGTACTCTTTTCTACATATGTTTCAATTCAAAAAATACACATACATTTCTACCTTGTGATAAATCAAAAAACATGGCTCTTCATCAAAATGCACAACAAAATAAAGATATGAACTTAGTTTTATCAAGTGATGCTAAGCCTAGACTAAAATGGACTCCTGATCTCCACCAACGGTTCGTCGATGCAGTCTCTCAACTAGGAGGTCCAGATAGTAAGTACTTTTTTACTAGCTCGGATCCTCCAAAAATGTTGTTGTTGCACCCACGTATTCTTGTTGCAAATTTAAATATTTGTTGTTTTATCGATAATGTAGAGGCTACACCAAAATCATTGATGAGAGTGATGAACATTCATGGACTAACATTATATCACCTCAAGAGCCATTTACAGGTACTTATGTTGCTCAGACTCTTTAAAAATGTTGTCACACTCTTATCAGATCCTTTAAAAATACACTAATTGATTGGTTTTTATCGTCGTACAGAAATATCGACTAGGAAAAAGTTCTGTGACTGATCAATCTTTTGATGAAAACAAACAAGAAGTTAAATTGGATTTGTGTGAAATAGTACCTAATGATGATGATACAAAGGGAAATGAAATCTCCAGAGGCTTAAAGCAGAGGACTTATTTTGATACAGAGTTGCCTCAGAGTGATCATAAGTTATCTTTGGGAGTATGTGATGGATCTCAAAATCATATGAATGAGTAATGATTTCTTCTCTTTGAATGCAATATTAAGATCCCGTCTAGTCGTAGATTTTGAAGTTGAAACATAAAAAAATTGAGTTCTTTTAGTTGTATTTAAACATGCAATTTACATTGGGAAAACAAATTCAAAAGTTTTGTGTGTGGAAGTACCAAAAACTCGTACTAGCCAGTTTTTTTGAGTCTGATCAAATTTGATGGTTAAACAGATATTTAAAGATAAAGTTTCAAAATTTGATTCAAAATCTATAGTCAAACGCGAGTTAACATAAAAAAAAATATTCTCAGGAGTTTCCAAATTGCAAGAGCTTTACAAATGCAAATGGATGTACAAAGGAAACTTCATCATCAAATTGAGGTAAAATTTATAATTAAAAAAAATATATATGTATATCTTCTTGATTTACATGTGCATACTTTTCCAAGATATATCCAATTTTGTATGTATTCGAGGATGATTCATCATGAATTGACTAGTTTTACACTGCTCGTCATAAGGGGTGTGTCACACTATATATCAACATAAACTATAGTCTACTAGTCATGATGAATCCTCACAATACATACAAAATTTTAACTGTCAACCCGACTTTCTTGGTATTGAGACGTAGTTATTGTAGGTACAAAGACATTTACAACTTAGGATTGAAGCACAAGGCAAGTATTTACAATCCGTTTTAAAAAAAGCACAAGAGACACTAGCAGGATATGGTACTTCTTCAGGAGTTGAACTTGCTAAAGCTGAACTCTCACAATTAGTTTCAATGGTTAACATGGGATGTTGTCCAAGTTCTTCACTAACAGAAATCGATTGTTCAATCTCGAAAGACATAGAGAACAAGACATCGAAAGAAGGAATCTTGTGTTCGATTGAAAGTTCGTTAACATCTTCAGAGAGCTCAGCAAGAAAGGAAGGTCAAAATAACTCAATGAACAACAAGAATACTACTTGTATTGGACTTCCATTGAATCAAGAAAGTAAAGGGAAAAAAAGAGGTAGACATAACATATGTGGTGATGAACAATCATCTGCTAAAAGATACTTGGAGACAATTGATTTGAATAGAAAATGTCCAAATGAGTATGATGAAAATGTTACAAAAGTTATAGACTTGAATGAGTATAGTTAGAATTGTATTTATTTTTATTCTATATAAAAAGTCATTGATTCCTATAGGTAATAATGTTGTTTATAGAATAATAATAATAACAATAATATGTATATTGTTTTGTGAATGAAACTTAAGAGAACTTTTCAAAGTATATCCATATTGATAGGTATTGGATATAATAAGCACAAATTCACAAGTAACAACTCTGTTTTCCCTGTTTTACATTTACTAAAAGTACATGATTCTGTTCCATTGCAGAGAATGAGTCCATAAAAAAAAAGGATGGTTAATCTGACAATAACATATGCAGTGTAATTTCACAAGTAAGATTCGAAGAGGCTAATGTGTATGCAGATTATATTGTGAGATTACGTGTTTTTGATAACTCGTAGAGATAGAGAAACTATTTGTAATAGGTTCTCAGGATAAATAAAGCATTCTAAATAGTTTGAGAAATGGGGATATAAATTTGAAAGCAATAGCAATAACGAAATAATGTGAAATAAAGTGTATTACGTTATAAACATAACAAAATAAAAAAGTATAAGTTCACCAGAGAAGTCTGGGGAGGAAAAATTGTATGCACCCTTGCTTCTATTTTATAGGATTTTCTGACTGACCCTTGACAATCATCCACCTTTATCCAGACTTGAAATCGACAATATGAACGAGTTCACATTGGCCAAGTTAGATAGTCAATTTGATATAAGAAAAAAATGAATATGATGTTGAAAGATTATTCAAAGTGAAGTTCTTCTACCATAGGTGCAAAACAACTCAAGAGAATATGTATAGATAAATGGCATCTCTTTTTTAGTTTTTTTTCTTTTTTTGTGATACCATATTCTAACTCAGGTGCATATGAGCTGCTAAACTTGGAGAATCTATATGTTCTAGGAATTCCATTTTTCATATGCTTTTCTAAATATGCAAGCAAGGAACTTGAAAATACACCAAAAAAGAATATTTATTAGTAATTTTGTTTTAGAAATCAATACAAATGAATAATAGAAAATGCTAATATAAAAATAATACTCCTCCATTCAATTTACGTGATACTTTTCAGATTTCGAGATTTGAATAAGTCTATCTTTGACTATAAATATTTTTCAAATAGTATTTTAATTATCAATTATTATGACTTATAATATTTTTTACTTAGTTTATAAATATAAATTTCATTTAAAAAAAAATTAAAGATTCCATGCTCGAATTTCTAGTCAAAATTGAATTGTTTGAATCTTAAAAACAAAAAAAATATCACATAAATTAGTACAAACCGATAATTACACTATCATTGTAATTTAATGTGTTTGTCACTTATCAAATATTGTCACGTGAACAATTTTTTGTGACCACCTAATGATTCTTTCTTTCTTTTCGTGAAAAAGTTTATTTGAAACAATCTTTCTAGTTTTAGTAGGATCAAAATAAGGCTGCGTTTCTACGGATGTCACGTGTAAAATTACAATGAATATACTATTATTGTTGTTGTAGCAGAGTGTTCTTTCTTTGTTACTTTAATTTAATAATGGGAAAAAACACAAAACACAACCAAAAATCAGGTGAAAACACATGAGAATATTTGAAAAGTGGTATACAAAATTAAACAGAGAAAATGAGAGAGAAACATGAACAAGATAAAGTTGAAGTGAAATATCAGCCCAAAAAGGGCCTAAATTAATTAAAATCTTGTGAAACCAAAATGATCTTAAGCCCAATAACACAATAAAGCTAAATTGAACCTTTAGTTCTCCAATAGTTTGACTTATTAAGTCTTCATAATTTCTTCTTTCTCTTCATGCCTTAATTTTTTATAAAAGCAATCTATCAGAATTAATTTTAAATCACAAAATAAGAGTAAGATTTATGTGCACCTCATTCTTTTTGACTCACTTAGTTAAATTATAATGGATATTTTATTGTGACATAATATATAAATGTATCATTTAATTTGACTTCATTTCACATTTATATCATCTAACTTGAGGTGTCTACATGTAAACATTTTAGATTGTATAAAGTTAAACAAGTAGGCACATGAGTTCTACTTAACATAATATATCAGGACACAACGTAGGATCAAAGTTGTCATATAGAACATGTGTGTCTATTTTATTCAATTTTATACAAATTTTAATATTTATATAAACTAAAATCAAATTAAAAAATATATTTATGTATTACGCTTAGAGGCCATAGGCTATTGATCAAGTTTTATGTGGTAAAAACTAAATATAACCACTACAAAGTTTTCAAAAAATGAGCTTTTATACTAAATTTGGAGGTTCAAATTTGATCTCCTAGTACAACCTAAATTAGTGCAAGGTTTAGTCCCCCAATCCTCCTAAAGTGGGTTTTTATTTTCTAGAATATGTAAACCTATAATGTTGTTTTTCTCTTAATTATTAAAGGTCAAATATATAAATAAATTTCTAAATTTATTGGATTTTTTCTCTCGGATATCTTAACTATGTCATTTTTTTTTATTAAATCATTGAATCACTATATAATTTGTTTCTTTAAAATATCGTTGAATGATTTTGATCGGCTTTTCTATTGTAAATGCCTTCAACTGTGTTCGAATTGTAATAATTTTGACTGAAAGAATGAAGACAAACCGTGTTAGTCTCATTTGTTTTCTAATGTGTTCAAATGACTTAAGTAAAATACAACTATTCTCGAATATTTTCACTATCAATTGAACTAATAAATTGTGGAACAACATATATATCCTTTAACAATACTCCTCATAAAATCTGATTTCTATATGAGACAATGATGATTTAAAAATCTGCTTTATGTATTTGACCATTATTAAAAATCTCAAAGTTTAATAAAAACTTAAATATGTAACCATCAAACTCCAATTTAAGTATCTAATTATTTCATTTCATATGTGAGTTTTATCATATCAATTTTAATCACTAAATAACATCACACAACTCTATCATAAAAAATAACATAAAATAGAATAACTAAATAACATGTAAATATAAATCTCCATTTTACCATATCCAACAAACAAATGTGCCTCTGTACAATAACATTATTTTAAAAAAAAAACTGCAAATTTTGAACCAAAAAAAAAAAACACAAGTTTTTTCTAAGCTTGATCATGATCATTTTCTGAACTAAAATTAGCTGAAACTGTATGATTATTATGATTTTCTGAACTTGAAAAACTCATCCAAATCTCTCTCCTCCTCCCTCGATTTTTCGATTCACCATTTTCTTCAGGCATTTTATACCTACAAATCGGACACGACCCATGAATCTTCAACCATTTTTCAACACAATCGCCATGAAATCTATGCTTACAAGGTATTTCTTTCGCTATCTCGCCGATTTCCCAATCATCCAAACAGATAGAGCACTCCCCTTTTTCTCCTTCTTCGCAAATCTCAACACTTTTAAGTGCATCGATTGATGCTTTGGAAGCTGGTGGCTGACCTTCTTTGCTCATCAATTCGTTCAGAAACGAATCTAAAGTAGTAGAGGAACGTGTTTCCATGACGATCATGTTTTGGGTTAACGGGTTTACAAGTATGATCCGATCGGAAAACTCAGATCGAGTTGTTGATTCATCTGATTCTTCATCTGGATTTGATGAAATTGAATTGTTCGTAATGGATAAAATGAAAGGTAAAAACAAAGAAGAGTCTCTGTTTCCAGAATTCATCAAATTCTCCATCAATGATGATTCTGATTCTGATTCGAAAGCCATTAAAATTGACTATATTTTTGAAAAATTCAGAGAAGAAGATTCACTATAGAGAATTAATAGTCGCAGATGGAGTGAAGATAAAATGGAGGCAAAGAAGCACACAGAAAGTTGTGGAAGATTCTGGAATTATGTAGACGGTTAACTGTGGTTGTTGATTTTTATGATTTTTGATTAATTAATTTAATTTAATTAATTAATTATTAATTAGTGTTTATCCTTTTGAGTTTTGAGACAGATGGCAGATATTTTTGAGGGATTTAATCTAATACTAGTGAGTCTTTATTTTCATTCTATGGTCCAGCACCATTGAACTTGTCAACTTGTAAATATTAGTGTTTTAAGAGGGTAGTTTTGGAAATTGGCTTGGGGCGAGGCACTAGCAAAATGTAATGAGATTCACGTATGGGTTTTAGTTTTTTGATTTGATTGTATGTTTTAAACACGTCCAACGGACAAGCAACTGTTAACGTAATGAGGTTTTCAGTTTTGTTATTTAATTGTATGTTTTAAACGTGCGTAAGATCAATGCTTGAGGTTTATCTAATAATTTTTGTACAAATTATATGTCAAATTATTTAATGGTAGTATTGTTAGTTAAAATACAATATTTTTATTTTGATGTTACTTAAATCGTATTATTTTAATATCATCATTAGGTAAAAGAAAAAGACGACCAATTTGATGAAATCATATTGTTAAATTAATATTTTTCTTTCTCATTTTGGCAAGTCACTTAATATTTAATAATTATATTTTATTTTTCACTCTTTATCTTTCTCATCATACTTACTCATACCCTATTTTTCTTCTTAATTTGTCATTCAAATTATTGATTTAAATTATTGATTTGTAACATTATATAAATTCAATACCCTCGTCCTTATGCTATAGTTTCTATATGCTTCCTCTGTTTTAATATGTACAAAAAATATTACATTAATTTTTTTTATAATTCTTTAATTTCAACTTTGAGCTAATTGACCTGTTTAAGACAATTAAAAAAACAATTTAAATATATTTTTCATGTATTTAATGGTGTTTGATCATCATTAATTTTTTATTTTTTTCAAAAATTTAATTCTAAAAAACACGTTTAATCATAAAATTTCGAAAAATTTCATGGACTACAACTTTCTTTGCTTATTTTGGGCTTATATCCAGCCCAAAAACCATATACTTATTAATTGAGATTTGAGTCTCAAAAATATTTCATTCTCTTCTTTTTGTCTTCTACAGAGTGTGCCATGGGAAGAAGGTATTTTGCAGATAACCTATTTGATTAAATTCACCAAAGAGTGTGGCACCAAAAATGTCCATTTTTGAGAAATGGGTCTGCTTTGATTTCTCTTAGCAAGTGAAAAAACTAGCCTTAAAGAATGGCAACAATGGCTTTGGGTAATGTTTGTTCACTAAAAATCAAGAATTGTGAGCTCTTTGGGATTTGTATAAATCACTCATATACCACTCATTCTATCCAAATTAAAAGTAAGTTTTAACGGTCAATTGCTCTAAAGTTTATAGCTTTATTAGATAATAATGTGTTTTAGTATTAGAATTTTTGTTCTGGTTTGTACTTTAGCTTTGTATATTATACTTTATAGGCTTAAACATGAAGCCATTGGTAATTCAAGCTACAGCTAAAGCTAATTCTCGGACTGAGAGTGCTAAACTTCGAAATAGGCGAATTCGAAAGAAGGTATGTGACCTTTGGTAAAATTATGGCTCTTGTTATCTCTGCCCAGCAAAATACTGTTTAGTCTCAAATTTGAGGCATGATATGCTATTTAATGTAGCCACATTTCTGTGTTATAACTTCAGCTTACTAAGGACCCTAGATAGGAAGGGAGGAAGGTCGGTAGGTAGCTGAGTGTGGCTGCGTGTTAGGTGTGAGAGGCAAGGGGGTTAGCCCTATATCCTCTTCTCCTTATTAGTAATAGTGTTTAGTAATCGCGTGGTTTCTTTTCTTTAATGTGCTTAAACTATCTATTGCTTCATTTTGCTTTGTATCATTTCATTTTTTACTTCTTGCAACGCTTCTCTGAATAACTTCTCTATTGAGTGGAGCGTTTATTGGAAACAACCTCTCTACACTCATAAAGATAGGGCTATGGTGTACGTACATCTTATCCTCCCCAGACTCTATTTATAGAATTACACTAGGTATGTTTTTGTTGTTAAGTAATAGAAGTGCAGAAGATTGGTGCTGATGTATTTTATTGCAATATATTGGTGTTCGGATAGAAAAAAGAAACTGATTTATGTAACTTGGCTTCAAGATCGCACAGATTGATCGTTTCTGCTTAGAAACAGAACAAGCGTACATGATTGAAGAAGGTTAATGCAAAGAATTTATTGGTTTCTTGGCAATGACTTCAACTTTCTTGCCTAATGGATTACTATTTAATGCTTTCACCCGTTGCATAAAGACCATCAGGCTTCGACAACATGGCTCGTCTATAAGGACACTCATATGCCATATTACCTACACCGCGACATTTAAAACATTGCATATCTCTATATCTAGTAGGAATAGGTGATTTGTACCTTTGCTCTTGCTTCACATTTTTGGACATGTTCCAAGATGTCTTGAAACGTCATTTGGTGTGTTCTGTATTCTTGATCTATTGTCCATTTTTGTTGCCGAATGCAATGTTGAATCTTAATTGTTCTCTAAAATCATTTCATGGACTTGCTCTTTCGCTCACTCAATCACAACAAAAAAAGCATATATGTGTAAGTTTATTGATTTACTTTAATCATTAAACTTTTTATTCGGTCTTTGGCAGTTTAATGGCACACCTGAAAAACCAAGACTCTCAGTCTTTTGCTCAGGCAAACAGTTGTATGCTACACTGATAGATGACCAGAACAAGAAGTGCTTGTTTTACGGAAGCACTTTACAAAAATCAATACGCGGTGATCCACCTTGCAGCACCATAGTGAGTATCTACAGCACATTGAGACCATCGATGATATTTCATCTTATGATCCCCGTTTCCCCTGACTTTGTCCCCCTTGATCACAGGAAGCAGCGGAACGTGTTGGTGAGAAACTAGTGCAGGCTTGTGTTGACCTCAACATCGATGAAATTTCATGTTATGATCGAAATGGTTTTGCTCGAGGAGACAGAATGCAAGCCTTTGAGATTGCCATTTCTCGACATGGTTTCATGTTCAAATAGTTCATCCTTCTTTTCTATGTGCATTTTGTATAGCCTTTTAAGACTCTGAAGCTCTTACCTTTTACAAAACTGTTGCGAAATAATTCAGAATTTAGACGTTGTGTGTTTTGAAATACCTGAGTGGATTATGATGTATATCTAACTTCTATCTAAACTTGGTATTTGGCACATGTTATATACATTTCAATCTCAAAAAGTTTGGATTCTATAGAATCGCGCTACTAATCATGTGTGTGAATACGACCTAGCGGTCTATAAAATTTCAAGTCTTAGAAGGGACAAAATCACTAGATTTTTTTTTTTCCATACGTCTAGCTTTGATGGACAGAGTTATCGATACTTATCCTTATTTGGTTTAGTATAGTCAAATTCGAGGTTCTATTTTCTTTTGTCTGATCAATTTTGAAAATAATTCATTATCTGAATAAGAATAGAGGGAAAAGAAAATCAATAGCCTGTTTTCAATAAAACAGTAATTTTTACTAGCCTTTTTTTAACACAGAAAAATTGTTTCTGCTACAACTTAAAAACCTTTTTTTATTTATTGACCAAAAACCACATATTTTCAAAATATAAATATTTCTTTTATTTTAAAAAAATGCTTTTCGGTTGACATTTTTAAAACTGCTTATTTTTATTTATTATTTAAACTGCTTAGGATATTAACTGACCCTATGAAGAATACAGTTATAAAGTAGTTATAATGAATGATAAATGATTTACTATCTATCTGTCTACACATTTCAAATGTAAAAACTATAAATAAACCAAAAAAACCACATCAAAACTTCATTCAAACTTTCACAATTTTCTCAACCAAAAACCACAAAAATGGAGCAAACTAGTGAAGGAATTGGAATAAAAATGTATAGTACATCGAAACGCGTCGATAATTCATCGTCTATGTATCCTACTAATTTACCACAAGGTGAAATAATCCCAGAATTACCAATACCAATTGGTGGTAAAAAAAGAAGAGCAATGGCAAATGGTGTACAAAAAACACTTTCAAAAACTTCATTACTTGTTAATTTTCTCCCAACGGGAACCCTTTTAACATTTGAAATGTTACTTCCCTCAGTATTTGGTAAAGGAGATTGTTCACCAATTACTACATTTATGATTTTAACGTTACTTGGACTTTGTACTTTGTCATGTTTTTTCTTTCATTTTACCGATAGTTTTCGAGGTCCTGATGGTAAAATTTACTATGGTTTTGTTACACCAAGAGGTTTGAAAGTTTTCAAGACTGGACTTGGTGTCGATGTGCCAAAAGATGAAAGGTAAATTTAATTTAATCGCGCTTAGCCATGAACACTGTTTTGTATTTAAAAAAAAATTGATATTTGTGTTGGAATATTTTTGTAAATCGCCCTTGGTTATGAACATTATTCTTCTATGAGTTATTTTTTAGTAGAGAGTTTTCATTTTGTGAAATTTTTTATGATAGGTAACTTTTAGTGATGATTCTTTTGATGTTTTAATGTGTGAGAGATGTAAAATCGCCTTTAGGTGTGAATACTATTTTCTACGAGTAAAGAGAAAATATACAGATTTGTGACGGGAGTATTTTTTTACGAAAGATTTTTATTTACTAAAATTGTGAAAATTTTATGATTACTGACAATAGTTTCGGTAACAAAAATTATGATAGTTTTATGGTTGTAACAAAATAGAAAGATTTTTTCAAAATTTTGACAGTTTTATTTCAGAATTTATCAATATACATGAAAATTGTGACAGTTTTAATCCAGAATTTGTTAATTTGTGACTGATTCTTACTGCTTTTTAAATATAATTAGTCGATTTCGCAACTTATTAGTCGATTTCATGCCTCAAAGTCATTGTTTCACCATGAGATGTTATAGTTATATAGGAAAATCTTCAACATTATGGACGAAATTTACGATGTTTTTTATTTTCTTTGATTTAGGGTGTTGACATCGTTTTGTTTTGGTTTGTTGTGACTAGGTACATTGTGGGAGTGACAGATTTTGTACATGCAATGATGTCTGTTTTGGTGTTTGTGGCAATTGCATTTTCTGATCACAGAGTAACACTTTGTCTATTTCCTGGACATGCTAAAGAACTTGATGAAATTATGAGGAGTTTTCCATTAATGGTTGGAGTTATTTGTAGTGGACTTTTTCTTGTTTTTCCTAATTCGAGATATGGTGTTGGATGTATGTCTGCTTAGATATCTACGTTTACATTCTTTCATGTATTGTAATATACGTTGGTTGATATTTATTTAAAATCTATCTATCTTGTATTGAACTACGATGATCTGTAACATATGTACTTTTACTTTGCATTTCTCTAAGAGACCTTACATAGTAGTAACTTTAGTGGTGTTATGTTGTATTAACTTTACTGGTCAATTCAAGACTCCCCTTCGTGAAGGAAAGCAAAAATACTTTACTGGTCATCATTTTTTCAAAAAAATACTTTGTATCTTATCAAACTATCCTACATAAATTGAAATTCCTTAATAATATGGATTGAAACATGATTATATGAAGAGAATGGACGTAAGAATTCATATATTATAATCAAACATAACTTGTTTGGAGTTGAAACATAGATAATTATTGTTATTTTTATTGTTACAAACTCAATACACATGCATCAAATTTATACTGAATCATGAATCTCTTTCTTTTTGGGTACTCAATCATGAATATTAAGATAGGAGTAAGATATGTCGTACATTTGAATTTGTAGGAGGCTAAGAATGGATTACTTGGACTTATACCATATACATTGGCCAGTGAGGATGAAGAATGGTGATGACCAAGCAATAAAGTTGGTAAATGAGGATGTAATTCCATTTGACATAAGAGGAACATGGCAAGCTATGGAAGAATGTTACAAATAAATTGTTTGATATTTGTAGGTGGCATTGAGATGGGTATATGAGCAAGGAGTTAGTGTATTAGTGAAGAGTTTTTAACAAGGATAGAATGAAAGAGAATCTTCAAATTTTGGATTGGTATTTAAGCAATGAAGAAAATGGTAAGATTCAAGAGATTCTTCAAAGGTGAACTTTTTGTACATCCAGATGGACCGTACACATCCCCAGATGAATTCTGGGATGGTGAACTATAAAATGATACTGCGAAATTGTTCAATCCTTTTTTCATCATTGGGTCGATTTAGGCTCCTTCCCTTCCACTGCATATCCAGGTTCCACACAGCTACAAGATGTAATGCAGACAAGAACTCCAACGTCAGAATATAATGTAATATGCTCTCCATCACTCAACGATAATGGGTACGAGAGATCCTGTGATTTACATACAAAATAATCACCGAATCGTAGAGTACCCGTACTCTATACAACGTATAATGCCCCCAGTTTACTCTATTTATAATACAGATACCTTCCTCAACATCTTCACTAATCAAATCTATGATGATGTATGTAACAAGCTAATCTAATCACCTACTTATATCAATATGCTAGTAACTACTCTACCTCCTACTACAACAACGTGGTATAAGCATTACTTTGGCCTCTTCATTCGCGACCTACTCAAGTACATGTCCATGGTCAGCTATGCAGAATCATAGTTATAGAAACTTCTGAGCCTTCAGAACGCAGACGAAAGCTATTTTGCATTAATCACCACAACATAAAGCTCGTTTACTCTCTTCAATCTTTTGCCAGAGACATAGCATCTCTCTAGGGCTTTGGTAATGGGCAATTACATAACCATCCCGGCAACCTTCATTAAAAATCCTCTCTTCCTTTTCATACTTCACTTCCAACCCTTTTTTCTTCATTTCGGAAATCCAGATGCCCATAGCAACATCTTCAAGCTTAAACATCTGCATTTTCAAGGAACTTGTAACATTTTAGAATTAAATAGGAGATACATGACCTGAGGGACTGAATGATACATTTGCACATGTAAACTTCACCAACTTAAATGACAGTTGAATAAGTAAAAAAAAAGACAAAGGTTCACTTTACCTTTAGGCGGCCTTTTCTCTGTTTCGAGCTGATTGTTTTTGCTATATCGCTGGAGACGACATAACCAGGTCCATGTGCCCAAGGAGGGTAAGTTTCTTCAGACCATTCCTATACATACATCAATAAAAGATTGAATACGCATGAAACACCAGATGAATGTGTTATTTCATTTTATGATCAAATTAGTGAGAATTAAAGTTGTTACTATTACAGATGCTCTGTTGTCATTGCTGACCACTAAAATAGAGTAAGGGATGATATCGGTTATGAAATATGAGATAAATGACGAAGATATTCACCTCTGGACTGATAAACCACTTGCTGTCTGGACTCCTGTGAGGTTGGGAATCTGCGTTAATAAGTCCATATAACAATCCACGAGTCGTGTTAACCCTCTCCATAGAAGATAAGATTTCATCCACTCGAACAAATGCATCATCATCTGTCTTCATGACAAACTTTGCAGAAACAACCTCCGTCTGTCCAATAGATGATGTCAACAAGAGGTGCACGAGATACGCCATGAGTTAGGAAGAGACAGGATTTTACCCCAAAAACACAGATGGCAATGGTTTTCCAAGTGATAAGACTGTAGTAATCAACAAAAGGCATCAGCTGGATGTCTCTGTATGTCCGAGCCTCATTCCAGAGCTCTTCATTCACCATTTGGTTTTTATGCTACAGCAAATGCATAACAAAGAATATCTTGTCAAATGAAGTTTCAGTTATTGAAATCTAATATGTGACTTCTAATGAGCAGCAGAACATGAAACTATGACACTTAATACCCAAGATCCAGTAATTAGGAACAAATTAGCATCGGCATTGAACACTATACTACCTTTAAACCAATGGTAGTATCACATTATGGAGTACAAAGAAAAGAATCACTCACCAAGCCAACAAAAAACCGCACCGCAACTTGTCCAGACCGCACTGCATCATATTGCATCCAAGTTCTACGGACAGCCATTCTACGCTTAAAATTATTTGCTGTAGAAAATACACCAATAAAGAGATCTAGTCTTTTTCGTGGAGGAAGAGGAGCTGCTTTTAAGGCTTCCAAGTCGCTTATATGCTCTGAATCCTCTGATGTTGGTAAACCACTTGCGACAACAGAAATTAATTTTATGTCTCCCGATATCCTCACTTCACTTATGAGCCATGGTTCCAAAGTCTGATAAGATATATATCCAAATTAAAGAAGATTCAGTAAAACAGATAACCATTATGATTGATGCAGAAAGATCCATGATAAAATTCTGAGGAAACAAAGAGGAGAAAAGGAAATGGGGGGGAAAATTACTTCACGGAAAGCAAACGATGTTATGTGTCTTCCATCAACTGTCATCTGAATTCCTTCAGATCCTACTCTCAGCGTGGCAACTGACAGATATCCTTGCTTGAAAGGAAAATATTTTCTTGATTTAGCCCCGTCCTGAACCATGCTAGATTTATTTGTTGCAATGACATGCCGAGTGGACATGACATTGCCTACCATCCCATTGCATTGATCCAATTCATCCACTGATGAAAAAGGTAAACAATGTTAGAAACAATGCAACGAGCACAGGGTGAACAACTAAGGACATCATTGAAGCTGAAAAAGACGAGGCTAAAAGAGAAAAAGGAAATCTCATCAAGCAGAGAAAATAGAGGAGCAAAGGAGATAATGCAATTTCGGAAATCATTTCGATTCCAGGAAATAGACCAATCAGCTTTTAACAAATCGGAGAAAAGATTTGCAGCAATGGAAAAATAAGTCACTAAGTTGGTTAACAAGAGGAAGACAATTCTATCATCAATATCTACAGGGAAGAGACACTGAAAAAAAAGTTCCAAGAAAATAAGTATTTAAAGAGAACAGACCATTTTCAGAATGTTTAGTACAATATCAGCACACAACTTAAATACCCATATATTTGCAGGATCTGGACCTCCAAAGGTGACATCGTCTTCAAGAATAATAACAATTTTATTTCCAAAAAAGGCATGTCCAAATTTTGATTGCAGTTAATTGGTCACACAGGAGGGTGCAGCATCGCTTCTAAAAAGTCGGTCGAAAGAGTTGAAAGAAATGTAGGAAAATGAGCTACAAAGCTTGAACTTCTACTTCAAGGAACGAACTCTCTCATGTGAAGAGGGAAAAAGCTGTTACCTTTCTTACTCTTTTCATCTGATGGTAATGGACAGCGCTCCTCTTCACCCCAGTCATGTGCAATAGTCCAGGTGTTTTGTACGATTACAGGATCCTCGGTTATTTTATCACCATGGAGCCTAACATTGTAGTGCAGAATAACAGGAGGGTCTGGTTCACCTGGTAGTGGTTCGCCAGTCAAATCTATCCGAAAATTCCCAAGAAGACCATTTGGAATGCCAATTATTGTGATGGAAGAACCCTGATTCAGACCACAAGGAAGCCGCAACTTAAAGCCGCTAGCATCAAGTTCAGTAGCATTGGTTTTGCTAAGAAAATGAGGACACTGTTTCTGTTTCCCTGTCTTAATTGAACTATCATTTGTATCGAGTTTGTCCCTCTCTACTGCACTCATGAGGTTGTTCCATGCAACAGTGGCTTCCTTAACCGCCTCTATAGCATTAGGTAAAACTAGATCATGAGTAGTTAACCTTTTCAATTGATACCACGTAGACAAAGATTGTTGCTCCTGAGCTGACAGGTTCCTCTTGATAAAGAGATCAGACACAACAATCTCAGCAGGTATTACTTGATTAATTTTTTCTGGATGGTGAGCTGCAGGTGGAGCCATAGCATTTATCCATTCAAGGGGATTTGTCATATTGAAGTAGAGAGAACTTGTAACATAGCTTTCCTTGACAGGTTTCCTCATCACACAGTATCCCAGGACCAAAAACATCAACAGGGATGTTGTTAAAACACCACCGTACCATTTCTTCATTTCTATTCTCAGTACAACTATTAAATCATTTAGCACTTAATTCATCAAATGTCTGACTAGATGAGCCCCAAGAGTCAATAGAACAGTAGCACCTGCAACAGATGATAATAATTTAATTACTTATGCTAACGAGGAGAAAAGAACCACAACCAACTTGAAGCGCAACACCAAATCTTAATCATGTGACCCAGACTCAAGTGTAAGTCTATGCTAACGAGGAGAAAGAACCACAACCAACTTGAAGTGCAACACCAAATCTTAATCATGTGAGTCCAGACTCAAGTGTAAGTCACTTTAGGTTATTAGTACAGTGCAAAAGTCAAAAAGAAACGATGCTTGTTTCTTCAGAACACCAAATAAAGCACACACTATTACATTGTTCCCGCATTGGAGCCCCAAATAACGATGGTAGGTGAGATGAAAAAATGTCTAATATGAGACTATAGATTCATGTACAACTGCCTAAGGAAACGTCGAACCTAAGCTGACTGCTTGGCTGATGATCAATTTGGGGGCATGTTCTTGAACATCAAAAAATGTAGTTTTCCAAGAATGAATTGAACACCTAAAGGACTTATGCTTTATGTAAGTCTCCTGTCAGTGGCTAACAGATTGAACAGAGAAATTGGTTCTAAATAAAGGAACAAAGTGCTCCAAAGCAAAGATGCGAACTTTCTTTTTTGATGGAGGGAAAGATAAGAACTTGAATGCAGAATAGTTTGTTCCAAGCTATATATAGAAATAGTAAGGGGAGCAGCTAAGAAGCAGTGTCTGCAGTTTATATAACTTGGAGAAGTTTCAGTAGTACTTAAATAGCAAAGACAAGAGAAACAAAGAAGTCTGTCAAACACACTAAGGCCAGCCAAGTCAAGAGAAAAGATTCGAAGATTATATATAAAATCAAATGGATCATAACTGTCCTACTTTGTCATACAAAGGTGATAATATCATGTTTTCTATCTGATATTCTTAGTTTGAAAAAACAAGGGAAAAAAAAGCTCTCAGATAAAATAACTAAAAATCAATAAACCTTCCATTTGACAATCCTAATGAATTTCTGTCCCTTCCTGAGCATATTTAACTTCTATTAACAGGATCATTGTACCGGTAAAAAGAAATGGAGAGGAACATTGAAGGCTATCAGGAAAAGGAATAGTATCAATATTTATCTAGAGCATATGAAGAGCTGGAAATGCTCTAAAATAAACATCCGAAGTATAAATTACAGATAACAGAGTGGAAATTTTGATAGATAATAACTAGATTCTTGCCCTGTCTTCTGAGAAAATTAAATACTCATAACTATTTCCAAGATTTTACACACTCAAAAGCTATATTAAATTCTGCTTAATTCTTCAATTATCAGTATTTAAACTAAGATGTGTCGCTGAAGCCAGCACCTGAAGTTACATAATAAACAATTAACATAACAGACAAACAATTCAGATCAGCACAATGTACAAGCACCATAAGTACTCAACTGCCAGTTTTCAACTACAGATCTCAATCTCAACAAAACACAACATAAAAGAAAAACGGAACAGTGCAAATACCTAACATAAAGAGAATAAGAAATGGAAGAAGTATGAGCATCAAACATAGGAAAAAACAAAAGAAAAATCTTACTTAATCATACTCAGAGTTTACACGAGTACATTTCCTCCATATTCACCAGAAAAGCCTACAAATTTGCTTCTCCAGACTCCAGAGACCCACTGTGATCTGCAAATTCACATTAACCGAGCAACTAATCCTAGAGCGCCGCAGTTTCCTTCGATATGAAGCACAATGCACAAATCTAACAGCTTAAACCTGAAAGCTAAACAGAAGAAACTTCCGATTAAAACTCAAAACTGCTATTAAAAATCAACACACTTTCAACTTCCAAAAAAAACAACAAAGCATACAATTACGCCGGAGAAGTTAAAAAATAGAAGAAATTCCAAAAATGCACAGATCGATGAGCTTGAAACTGTAAAAATAAACAGCATAACCAAACAAAATGAAATAGTTACAAACAGTTCTCTAATAAATCGCACTTAAATCCAAACTTAAAAACACTTCGACTGTGACAACCGAGAAAAAACAAGCCTCAGTTCGAGACTATTCCCGAAATGTACAGATCGAACAGAAAAGTAAGCAGCAAAAGCAAAATCTACAGTAACAAATGAAAATTCCATACAAAAATTTGAACAATCACAACTGCCATAACGAAAGCTCGCCAACATTTTCTACCATCATAACCGTAAAGAAAAATTTTAAAAATGCCGAAACGTACTTCGTTAGAAGAAACTACAAGCAAAACTCGAAAAATCAAACTTAAATCCAAACTTCAAAGCATTCAAAACTCTGAAAAACGATAAAAACGAAGCGTAGCTCAACAGTATTCCCGAAATGTACAGATCGAACTGCTTAAAACTGAAAAGTAAGCAGCAAAATCAACAGTAACAATGGAAAATTCCAGTCAAAATATATCAAACAATCACACTGTTGCAAACACATTTTCTAGTTTCTACTATCAAAAATTCAAAAAAAAAAACCGCACCTGGAGAATGATTATCCTTTGTTGAAGAAACACTTGGATTTTGTGAAACACTAGAAATGAACCAGAGTTAAAAGAGAGTAGTAAATAAAACAGAATTGAGAGAGAAGCTTAAAAAAAATAAAAATTAGAAAGAGAAAAGATGATTTATATATGGGCCCGTTGTTGCATCGCTGTCGCTTGAACTTGACTTCTAGTCTTACGCCTAATTAAGGAAAAATCGAAAGGAACGCGGAGGATATTAGTTTTAATTGACCATCCTTCGTTGTTCGAATGGGCTCGTTTAACCTTTATCTCGAATTTTCAAAAAAAAAAATATTATTATTATTTATGTTAAGCTTTGAAAAATCAAATTAGAATAATAGTTATTTTAGTGTGAACTTACTATTTATATGTTATTTAACGTTACCCTCAACCATGAATTAGATTGTCTCACGATATTCTAAACTCAACTTACACATTGTTCTAGAGATAGATAATATAGTTTTTACTTTTAATTAAAATTATCTAAGAAAATGGAAATAAAAAAATACTAAAAATGTCTTGAAAAATAACTTTATGTTGTAGAAATTTGAGAGGTAGAGAGAGAGACAAAATAAAATAAAAAAAATCATTCAAGTATTAATTACACTAAATTTATCTTAATAAATTATAAGGACGTTAGTTATGGTTAGAAAATAATGCATATTCGTTTCTATTTTATTGTTAGTACATTATAGTAAATTAAAAATAAATTTATTTCATATTTCATAAGAATATTTATTTAATTTATTTTTAATTTTTTTTGCATCGTCATAATAAAGACCAAAAATATTGACCATGGGACTTATGTTCAATTTTTATATGTTAGTACTTTTTTTTTATCATCATCAATTAATATATGTTAGACTTTGTAAATCTACAAAGCTCAATGTTGTAACAATTATGACTTTGACCAAATAAAATTTAACGTGACTAAGTTCGAACAATTGTCACTTCATTTTGAATATTTGATATTTTAAAATAAATTTTTAAAAATTGGTCTTTTAGCCACCAGCAACATGTCCCCACATAAACCTCTTTTTAAAAAAAAGTTTTTCAAAGATGATAACTTTATAAATTAAATTAATATTGTTTTATATCAAGATGTTATAAACTTACATGTGTCCGCATAAAATAATTAGCATGCAATCTCATGTTAATGTTAAACTTTATAGAGGCCATGATCTTTTTTTCAAAAAAAAAAAACGGAGTTTGAAATTCGAAAATTAATTTTGGCAAAAAAAACAAAAATACTGAAATTTGAAAATGTGAAAAGATTATTTTTATCTTTTTTCATGTTACATTATTTTAAAAATTAAAGACAATATTAATTTGTATTTCTGATTATATACGAGTTCATTTTTTTAAACATTATTTTTTACTTTCAATAATTTATTTATTTATTTAAATACTGGTAATTTTTTTGACCAAACATTAATCAGAGTGGTTAGATTTTGATTAACGTATATTTATTAATCGTGACTAATTAAAGAACAATATTTGTAAGCTTTTATCCCCTTTTTTCATTGTGGTGAAAAAGATATTATTAAACAAATTATATTTTGACTTTTTTTTCTTGAGAAAGTTAAAAAGAGAAATTAAATTTAGACAAAGGATTTATCATCGTATTTTACTGTTATTGCTTTAAATCATTTCTAACTTATTAGGATAGACATGAAATTGTTATAATTGTAGTACCGTATCTAGTATAATATTATAAGTGCAAACTTATTTTTGTATATCAAAATACTAATTCAAAACATAATTCATCTTAATCTTTATTTTTGATTTTTGAAGATCCATTTGTAACACCAATAAAAATATCATTTTCTATAGGAACATTTAATTTTAAATTCTCCAAACTTTATTGAAATCTCTCCTCATACGTTTGTCCAAAATAATTAAGATCACTAATTACACTACTTGTTCAAGACTTCAAAAATAACTTATTTAACACACAAAAGATTAAATTTTCCTAAAATTTGTCTCCCCCTTACTATTTGTAGAAAATTATAATGCTCCACGTCTTAATATTTGTACATACAATTCCTTTTTAATGCACAAATAATAAATTATCTAACTTCTTCTCTACCCATTCTATTTGTAGAAAATTTAAGGGCTCCACATATTGACTTAATATTATTTACTCTTTCAACAAACAATCTCTAGACATAGCAACAAAAAAGATTGATTGATATAATCACATTTTCTTTTAATTTCGTATTCCAACTTACAATAAATTAACTTTACATAGTAAAGTAAAAAGTAGAATCAATTTACATATTTTGTTACATAAAAAACACTGAGTTATATTACTCTTTCTTTTTAATCAGATGTAAATTTCGTTTAAATGAGTCAAGACTTAGCTTGACAAATAGAAAAGAACAATATCTTTTTTTTTTTCACATCGCTTCTCGTTAAAAAATAGTGAAAAAAGGAAAACAAAAAGAAGAAATTTGATTATTTTTTCTTATGTTAGTTGTGACTGTGCTTTCTGATATGTTAACAAAGTAGCCTCGTTTGGTATAAAATAAATAAATAAATGTTTTTTATAAAAAAAAAAACTTAAACTAAAAGCAACAAACTACAAGCCACAATTAGTTAGCTTTAACCAAGTTTTTTTTTTTTTGGTAGGGACAAGATAGTGTCGGTCAAATTTAATAAAATAACATTAGACATATTATTCTAATAACTTTTTGGTAACACAACAACAATATCAAATAAACAATAAAAAAAGATTTATATATAGAAAATATTAGAATATTGTGTTGATAAATGCATGGAGTAAAAAAAAAAGTTTTAAAAATGAGTTCACCTGATACAAAAAATTTATGGTTGTTTAATATGATCTTATACATAATAATTTTGATTAAAATTCATAAAACAGTATTGAAATTACTATATCCTTAAAAATTTTATGTGAGTTTCGAGCACCAAATGATTTTTTTAAAAAAACTATAAATTTATTATACAATAACTTTTTTTATTTTTCTGAGTAAAAAATTGGTGAGACAGACCCTAAATCCTAGTAGTGTAAGTGTTTAACTATAATTATATTAAATGATATTAACATGTACTAGAGTAAATATTTTAATATACAACGTAAGACAAAAATTAAGGGGAAGAATTAAATTAAAAAACAGTTGATTATTAAATTTTAATACAAAAATGATTGTCGGTGGGGCTAATAATAAACTAGACGTACCATTGACAGTTGCATTTATTTCAATTTTTAATTTTGTATTTATTTCATGAACCTACTTGCCATTGTGCTCCCTCAAACCAAACCAATTACTCAATCAAGAAAACAAAATTATTTGAGTTATTATTTTTCATCGAAAAATTATATTTTTCAGTTATTTTATCTGGATTCACCTTATCTTTTTAAATGTGTTCATTTTCTATATTTTGATATTTTTCAATAAAATTTCGACTCTCTGCACTTTTATTGCTCAAATAGAAAAATATTTTGTGATTGATCCTTGGACTTGATTTAGATAAAACATTTCAAAGTAGATATGAAAAAAAATATAAATAGTAAAGTAGCCATTGAGAAAATACATTAACAATAATAAATAATACGATAAATAAATTAAAAAAAATAATAAAAAATAAAAATTCAAAAAACAAGATAACACTAATTATATTATCAATAAAAAAAATTAAATCATACTCAATTACCTATTAACTTTCTATCCTAATTCTTAATCGCAATAATTATCAACTTTCCATCTATTGTGTTGTCAAATATCAACAACATATACCACTAATATAATATATGTGTTGTTAGTGTTTTAAAGTTCCCTTGTTAATTAATTAATAGTAATTACTCAAAGTTTTATTTTGACTTGTAACCCTAAGTTAGACGATGTTGACGATAGGTGGTGAGATGGCTGCTCAAAGTTGGTGAAGGATTGTTCTATTTTTTAAAATATCTCTAGTATTCAAGAGACAGAGGTAGGTGACATTTTATGTGTTTGAACGTATTCATTAGTTTTTTCGTAGATTTTATACTTATATTAAAAAATTAAATAAATATATGTATGTTATCATGTGAACCTTCAAATAAAATTGATTTAGAACTTCAAACTCCTAATCTTGGCTCCGTCTCTGATGATAATATATATATATATATATATATATATATATATATATATATATATATATATATATAT